AATTATTCATAACTCTGATAACATGATCATATTCCGCTATTATAAACAATAAATATTATACTATGATGTTGCATAAAAAGTGATGTAAGAAATTACTAAAATGTTGTAAGCTTTATTCTCTCATTTGTGATCCTGATGGAAAAATGTGGATTTTTGGGTTCTCCCTTGGGGTGTGCTCAACGGAACTGCGTAATTTGGTGTCCTCCCTTGAGTACTTAGCGTCTAATGGAAGATAAGTACTCCTGTGGGACATTAGATTAGGCGGTTCTGCCACACAGACCCCTCTCACCATGACGTCCCCGCCAGGACGCCCCCTCCGGCGACGGAAGGGGTCAGCGGTGGACGCGAACCTCTCTCCCAGCACCACGATTCCTAGGGACCCTCGCCCGCATCCCCCTTCATCTGGCCCACGCCAGGCGCCGTCGCTTGGGCCACCGATGGCACGGGTCGCGCCGATGCCTCAGGCGACGCGGCGGTTGCGCCCGACTATGACCCATATGTCACGGTCGTCGCCACCTCCACCTACAACGGTAGGGTCACAATTGGCTGCGTCAGGACCGCCACGGGCGGCGCCACGAGCGCGGTCGGTAGCCCCACCTGCCTCGTTGTCGGTAGTAGTATCGCGGCCGTCACCGGCTGCTCCGTGACCTCCGAAGGCGCCCCTTGAACGCCCGCGTCTTCCCGTCCCGCCGAGGGCACAAGCGCCACCATGGGCGACGCCTGACCGGCTGGCAACGCGATCACACTAGCGCCGCTCCCGTCCGAAATGGGTGCGACACCAGCCGACGACCGCCGCCCCGATTGGAGGGCGATGCTCTTCTTCGGCGTCAGCGCCAAAGGATTACGCTGCCTACCAACGACGGCGCAAGTGACGAAAAACATAAGTCACGGTGAATTCGACTAAAACAGGAAAAAACAGAGGAATTCATAACACAACTCAGCGCCGTCGGGCGGCAGACATGTTTGGGGGACAAACCCCCCGACCCTTCCTCCGCCTCGTCGGAACGAGGTCGTTTCAAGCCCGCCCCCTGCTCCTGGGCAGAGGGGCTCGCCCCTGGTAGCTTCTGGGGCACATTGGCGGAACGCTCCGCTCCCCTTGGCTCATGGGGCGCGACAGCGGAGCCACCCGCCTCCGCTGGCACCTCGGGCGTGACGGCAGAGCCACCCACCTTTGTTGGCTCCTAGGGCAGGCCGACGGTACGTCCTACCTCCACCGGCTCCCCAGACATACCCTCCCCTCCATGGAACGGGAAGGGCCCCGACGCCTGCAAGGACAAACCGATGCCTATCAGCGCATCCTCGTTCTCTAGGTTGTCCCACTCAATATCGTCGGCTACCATTTCTTCTTCCTCCATCACCTCATCGTTGTCACCATTGTCATCGTCATCATCATTGTCAGTGTCCTCCCCTTGTTCCCACGCCCACAGCTTCCGCTGCTTCTTCTTCTTCTTCTTCTTCTTCTTGTCCTCCTTCGCCTTCCTCAGCCGCTCACCCTCGGTGCGATTCGCCGTCCTCATGGTCGAATCCCTCGGCAGCGGCGCCTGGTGATCCATGAGGATGAAGTCCCTCGGCTGGTCCCACCCCTCTCAAAGTTAGTCTCACGATGTCGGGAAATCAATTAAAGAGAAGGCAAGAGAAAGGGAAACTTACGAAGACAACGTAGCCTGGCTTTGGCCGCATCGGAGGATGCCCCGGCACCGGGTAGACGAAGTCGAGGGCGGCACCCGCGTCGTCCCGCAAAGGCTCCATCACCTCCTTGATGCGTTGCGTGATCTCGGAGTTGGGGAGCGTTCCCTCGGCGAGCGCTATTCCGTCGAACGACGCCTCGGGCGCCATCGCGTATAGCGGGAGCGCGCACGTCATCAATGGCGCCACCCTCCTCGCGTGATAAGCCCCGATGAAGCCTGACCCTTTCAGACCGTTCTCCTTCAGGATGTGGATGGTGGCGATGTGGTCTCGAATCTTCTTCTTGTCCTTCTCTAGGACGCCCCACTTCCTCCACTGCTCCGGGCTTCTTCGATCAGGCGCCCGGTGAACTCCGGCAGAGGGGCGGCGGCGTCATTCTTGAGGTAGAACCACTGCGAGTGCCACCCCTTGTTAGACGTCGAGAGCCGCATGGATGGGTACTCATCAACCCGATTGTTCCGAAGTTGGATGCCGGCACACCCCATCGGCATGTGCAGCTCCTGCCTGCCGCCCTTCTCCTTCTTCTAGAGGTTGACAGCGAAAAAATACCTCCACAAGTCAAAGTGGGGGCTGATCCCCAGGAATCCTTCGCACAGCGCGACGAACGCCGCCATATGCTGGATCCCGTTGGGATTGAGATGCTGTAGCTCAATATTGTAGAAGTGCAGCAACCCCCGGAGGAATTTGAGGGCAGGGGTCGCGAGCCCACGCTCGTGGAAGTGGGCGAACGACACCACGTAGCCGTTGTGCGACGATAGTGAATCCTTGTTGCTAGGCAGCAACCACTCCTCAGCCGAGGTCCGCACGCGGAGAAGATCGCGACAGACGAGGCCCTCCATGCGCTAGAAGGTGATGTCGGAACGACACCACGAATCCATTGCAGGTGGGGGCGGATGGATGCGAGCTCAACGGCGACGGAGATACGGAGGTAGGAAACCTAAGCGTTAGCGGCGGCGGCGTGACTGCGGAGGTAAGGAAGCAGGCGTGCGTATGAAACACGGAGGGCTAACCCTTTGGTTTTATAGGGGCGACGGGTGCGAGGAAACCAACTGCCCGCATAGATCTCCGCGCCTGCTATGACCTGTCACCACGTCTCGTCGTGGGCGTGCGCCCGCAACCTATGGCCGTCCCCTCGAAAAACATGCTGGACGTTTTGCCTCCCCGAACGGGCCACGACCCGTCACAGGTAAGAGGGATATGGAGTTGAAAATGCTCCTACGACCCATCTAGGCCCAAGAGTTCGAAGGTTGACCCACCGACGGGTTCGACAACTGCTCCCGACACCTTTAGAGCGGGGTGGAAGGGATGGGCCCGCTAGCGGCCAATACCCGGGTGCACGAGCGCCGCGGGTATCCCAGCCCATGTTCGAGTCTCGGCCGGATACGATCCATGGTTTTTCCTCGAAGAAAGGCAGAGAGCCCTCAGGACCGGTCGAACAGACCTGAGAACTATATGGATTGACCGCTGAGAATCTAGAGTCGGTCACCAGCTGACCCAAGCCAGGCCCCCACGAACGAAATGCCGGGGCCCCACTCGGACATGCCCGTTAGTGAGCTCACCGGGCGCGACACTTGAGCCATCGAGGCAAGTGACGTTAGCTCAACCCCTCTGGTTGCGGAAACCACGAACGGGGTGACGATCACAAAGACAAGCCGACCCTCGACCGGACCCCTGCTACGAGCGGGGGCTCGAGGAAAGTTGAACTCGCAAGGAGACCGAACGCGCGGTCGCACCCCGTAGGGGTCGAAATCAAGAAAGGCCTTTTCTAACCCACCAAATCTCATGGCTATACCCCCGAGGGGTCCGATCACGACGAAAGAGAACCGCCGTCCTTAACGCCGTCCTACCGGGACACGCCATGGGAAAAAGAAGGCCAAGGGCCTCAGAGTCCTTCAGTTTGGAAAAGCCTCCAAAGGAGTATTCTACTCCTCCGCAAGCTCGGGGGCTACTGTCGGGTATCGATATTAGGAATACCCAAAGCAAGGGAGTTAGCGCCCACGCTGACTTCCTCGGATGAAGCAAGACGTATTAAAAGGTCTCGTTCGACCCCAAGGCCGCGGGGGTCTAACCCAAAGCCACGGGCTCCGCCTCGCCCGACCCCTTAGGTGCGGGCTCCGTCTCGCCCGACCCCTTGGGTGCGGGCTCCGTCTCGCCCGACCCCAAGGCCGTGGGGGTCTCACCCAAAGCCAGCGGACTGCGCCTCGCCCGACCACTTGGGAGCAGGCTCTGTCTCGCCCGACCCTAAGGACGCGGTTTCCGCCTCGTCCGACCCCTTGGGTGCGGGCTCCGTCTCGCCCGACCCTAAGGCCACGGGGGTCTCACCCAAAGCCGCGGACTTCGTCTCGCCCCGATCCCTTGGGTACGGGCTCCGTCTCGCCCGATCCAAAGGGCGCGGTTTCTGTCTCGTCCGACGGGGACCCGCACCACCACCAACCACTCTAGGTCCAAACGTATGGGCCTGGGTCAAAACTCTGACATCAGGGAAGAAACTAGCACGCCTCGATGTAACCCGTGGTCATGACGGGCCATACCTGAAAATTCACATCAAGAACATTGTCGGACGTGCCGGTGCTGTTATGCCTAACCCTCGTACGAACACTGATAAGCGCATCAGTTCACCACGACGTCTGCCGGGACGGAATGGAACGCCATGACCGACAGATGACACATGCGCATGGCGCCAGTGACGGACAGGGCCGCGACATAGAGACATCCCTGTTAACATCTACAGGATCGGCGGGACCCGAATGAAGGAGAAGAAGGACCCGACGATCCTGGAAGCTTTCCTCTCTCGTTCTTCTCATTTTTCTCCGTTGTAACCCGCGCTTTCCCTTGGCCTATAAAAGTAAAATCAGGACGCCCCATGAAAGGAATGGGGCCAGATCCGCACAAGAGCACGACACGAGAACACTGCTGAGCAGCGATCGAACTCTCAGCACCCATTCATTCCTTTCACCAGAGACTTTAGATTATTTTCCTCTCTCGCCTATTTGTAACCCCTACTGCAAACTAAGTGCCGACAACACGAGCAGCAGCAAACTGAACGTAGGGACGTTCCGTCCGAACCAGTATAAACCCTTGTATCCTCCGAGCACACCATCCGAGCCAAACGCGCAAATACAAATTTACTCGTCGGTGGTCAAAAACACCAACACAATCCCCACTTCAATTCACCATCAACCAATAACCAATGTTTGAACATCTATGAACCCAACAGCCAATGCAACTGATAAAACAGAAGTTGAGCATAAAGAAAACTGTTTTACAAGAACAGAAGGATGCCAACTGTTCATGAATTATCACATGACAGCTTTCTATGCAAGATAACGATATAATTTTCTATCTACTTTGTCTCTTTCCAAGAATTCACGCTCAATTAGAGATTCGATGCGCTTCTTTATGACAACAGGGTTTGGCAAGAAACGTGCTTGTAATTGCTTGGTAACCTCAGCTACAATGCTGTTATGATCCAACACCCTCCGTGATTTCATGATCCTGACAATGGCTGCCTCGATCTGAGGTTTCCTGTCCTCCTCAACCCGTTGGCGAGTCTCCTGTTTCTCTGGTTCAGATTCCTTTTGCGCTACCACTGTCCCAATCTTCACTTTAACAAGCTTGCTTGTGAACTTGTCATTAAAGTAGAATGTATCATCCTCCGATATGTCCTTGCTCATGGGCTCCTTGCGGAGAACATTCTTCCCCTTGACACAAGCAAGGGACTGCAGACATCTCTTTAGGTCTGAGGCAGGTATCTCAGTATCCCGTTCAATGTCTTTGTAGGTCAATCCATCAGCATTGTTAAACAGCATGAGAACACACATCTGATAAGTGGATACATTCAGTTCATGCTTCTGGCCTTTTCCAAATGTGGCTTTTATGTCAGCTGTACCCATGTTTGTTTGCCATGTCAATCTCCGGCCATTGTGAGTCCCAAGATAATATGCCCGGAACTTCTCACATACTGTAAGAATTTCAGTTGGAAGGTTGCAAGGAGGACTGGGCTGCGTAGGCCAAGAACCAGTTGTCAAAATGTGGACATCAAGCGTAGGGCCATCCCCGAGTTCCTCAGACTTCTTGGCATAGAAGTCTTGCATGGTGTCCTGGGAGGTTTTCATATCAGTGAACATGCCCTCTAGCTTCGAAGTGAACTGGTATCCACATTCTGTCTTGAGTTTAACTATCATACTTCTCTCAGCATCATCAGAAACAGTTTTGCCAGACAGGAGCCTTTTCGCCAAATGCTGCTTATAGTACTTTTCAAACACATCCTTCTCCTGGAGGTATCGGAACAGCATCATGACTTTGTCCAGTATAACCTCCACATCTTCTTCTGTGGCCCCTTTATGTCCTTTGCGGAGTTTGTCATCAACATATAATGATATGAATTCAGGTGATCGGTTGTTTAAGTTGATGAAATACTCAAAAGACGAATTCAGAGCATTCTGGAAGGTTTTGTCATTGCCAAAAGCAACACTGATGATCTTATCATGCTTGTCCTTCTCATTTAACAAGCGTTGGACAAATTCGACTGGATCTTTCAAACTTTCTGGATCCGTCACTAACTGCTTCCCTGTTTCCCTCAGGTAAGAAGTCATGACATCTCTAATCGTTGATAACCCATCAGGAACCCTTCGGAACAAGGAATACATCCGACCCAAATCTTCATACCTGTCATCTACTAGCATGTTAAGCAGCCCTGAATTTTCCATGTGAACCAATCTGTGCATGTGATTGGCAATCATCTCTTTCTCCACTACACTAGTTATCTTTGCCTCACTGCCAGCATCCAAATAGTGTGAGACACGCTCCATTTCCTCATTTAGACGCCTCTCGGCCTTCTTAAGGTAGTTCCCACAGTCACAGCACTCAATGAACTCTTGAGACTCCACACTGTAGAAGCTGGCTGAAACATCCAGAAACGGTTTCTCAAAATCGTCTTGATACACAGCAGGACCCAGATCCATCAGCATCTTTGTTATGCTCCTCATCAGGCCTCTGTTAATCACTTCACCCATTCTTTCCCCTTTTATAAGATCCAAAAGGGTGTTAACCAGCCGACTATGGATCATGGGGGAGTGAATTATGTGATCCCTCCACAAATTCAGACCAAGCTCATGAACAGGTGTCCTATGAGATGTAGGGACATATGTCCTGTCCATGTACATAAGAATATCTCGTATCATCTGTAGCGCCTTGTTGTGATCCATCCACTTTGCATTCAGCTCCTCCAAAAATAAACCACCCTGTGCAGCCTCTATTGATTTTGATATTTCCTTCAAGCGCCATGTCATTGTGTTCTGAAGGCAATCATACAGCTTCTCACCATACTTGTGAAGCACCATGTTGTAGGCACTCCTGCACAGAGAAAGAAAAAAAAAAGTTACAATCAGGCTAGGCCACACTATATCTTGGTGTAGTGCACCTGCATCTACGTGCCACACCAGATATTTTTGTACAGTGATTAGTGCTAGTAAATTTGCTAACTAATTTTCTGCAAAAGAAAAAAGAAAGGTTCAACAGGCACAGATTTGGTGAGACTATAATACGTAAATCAAACACAAATCTACTGCTCACATAGTCACATGAAGTGCAATGTAACATCAGTTCCTACATACAACTCAGTCTCGAATAATCATTAATCACGGTTATTAGCTATCAAAATCTGTACAGAGGGGTAGGAAGGATCCACAGGAACTGGTGTTCCGCTAATAATCATCCCGAACAGACACAATTTTGCCCAAATTTGCACAAGTCGCTACTCCAGAAACATATAATAATTCTTCGAATGGCCGTCAGCGGAAGGCCGAAAGGCGGCGATAGCCAGGTAAGGTGAGTTGCGCGGGGTGGGTTGTGGGGGTGTGGACCAACCTGTAAAGCTCCTCGAAGGAGAGGCCACTGGCGTTGTGGTTGTAGATCTCGTGGATGGCGTGCTCGAGGACCTTCCATGTACGCTCCGCGTACTTGGGGTCGAGCTCCACACGGTTCTTGAACGCCTCGATCTTGAAGTTGCGCTTCCTCGGCGGGCCGCCGCCGCTCATCGCCGCCAGACGTTAGGGTTCGGGGGGCGGGGCGGGTGGGTGGACGCGGGCGGAAGCGGGGTGGACACTGTACACAGGGAGAGCGGCGGCGGGGATGAAACCCGATGGGGAAAACCAGACGGCTCCTCCCTTCTCTCTCTTCTTTTCCCCTTTTATGGCGCTGTTTGCTTGTCTTAAAGTTGGATTTGTTCGGCTTGTTTTTCCAGTTGAAACAGTATTTTTCTCTCACAACAATTCAGTTGGAACAGTATTTTTCAGCTAGTTTTAGTCAAAGTTCAGACCAGTTCTCACTTTTTTTTTTTTTTTTAATGGACTTTTTTTTTCTTTCTTGATGATGAACCGATGACGCATGTCTGCCTTCTCACGGTCCCACCATGTCAGGTTAATTACCGCAACCCGTTAGGCCCACACTACATTGTCTTCATCACTCGAGCGGATTAGCTGCAATTGCTTCACCGGCCAGCCTGCCAAGCCCGCAAGAGATCGCAAGCCGCCGATTGTGTTCTACTGCACGTCTGCACCTCACACCGCGAGCCATGGCAGTCTTCAAATTTTCCCTTGATAGAAAGAACAGGCTCGAAGAAGGCACTCCAGGTACAAACATCAAACATGGCGCCGGCGAGTCGTCTTGGTGACCACCGCCGGCTGTTGGGCACGGCCTCGGCGCCGAATGGTGATGGGGCGTCGCCCGGCTCAAGCAGACCACCGCGAGCATGGCAATTCCACTTGCGATCTTGGCATTAGCATCACGGAGGTTAAATTGACTGAGTGCGAGCGTTGCGGCAGATTTTTTTCGTGACCATGTGTAAGCACGTTTTTATTAATTAAAAAGAAAAAAAATACAGCATAAGATCCCAGTAAGCCAGGACTTACCAAGAGCAACTCGGACCTTAGAAGACTAGTCCCACAAAGAACACCCACAAAATTTATGATTAAGTAATCAATAATGCTACATAACATAGGTCCGAAATTTTAAAAAAAATCGGATGCTCTGCTGCACGCTCGCTCTAGCGACCGGCCCAACAGACCCATCTACGCTCTCTCCTCTATCTACTCCATCTATACTGCGACAACTGACAGAAATCTCCAACTCCTTGCTTCGGTCGTCGCAACTCACCGTGCCGTCCGCCCGCCCCAAGCCGCCTCGCGGTGGCGCCCTCATCCCACGTCGAGCCGCGCCACGTCTACTGCCATGCCGTGCTCCATCCCCCGCCTCGTCGCGCCGTGCCCGGTCCCCACCCCTATGTGCCGTGCCCCGTCCCTCGTCGCGTTGAGGTGCTGCCAACGCCGCCGTTCCCCACCAGGAGGTCATGGTTGTTGTCGACACCGACACCGCCGCGACGTTCGACCTCAGCTCGACATCACGAGATCCAGAGTGGCCAGACCCGGAGCGGGCTTCTCTGGCTGCACCTCGCGCTCCCTTCCTTCCTCGAATGTTGCAAGCGCGTGTTGCAAGCGTATGTTTTAAGTATTTTAGGTGTTCCATATGCATGTTGCAAGTGTTTTATGTGAATGTTACAAAAGTAGATCAGGATATTGCATATGTTGCAATGGCTATACACGTATGTTGCAAGCGTCTGTTCCAAATGTTTCAGCTGTTTCAGATGGATGTTGCATGTACGTGTTTTATCTGGGTGTTGCATATGTTTCATACTTATGTTGCAAATGTTTCATCTAGATGTTCATATGTTTTCACACGTATGTTGTAAGTGTTTCGTCTAGATGCTGCATATGTTTTGCAATGGCTACACACGTGCTTCCCTCGTGTTTTAGACGTACGTTGCAAGTGTTTCAACTGCATGTTACAAATGTTTCCTCTAGATGTTGCAAAGCAAATCTGGTGTTGTAACTGTTGCAGTGGACCTCATCTGCAGCAGTCGCCTACAGCAGCTGCTGGGCCCGCCTGCATGCACGTTGGTGTGGAGGGGGTGCGAGAGGTAGGCGTGAGAAACCGGGGGCGCAGATCAAGCCAGCGGGCATGGAATATGGAGCGGCGTGGGACACGGAGGCACTAGACACGAAGCGGTGTAGAATCCCACGTGAAACAGGCGTGCGACGCAGCGGGTATATGGACGCTAACCCCATTCAGTCCGGACGTTGGCCTTTCCCCGTAAGGGCTAAGAGTGACTACAAGAGGTGGTTGCGTGTCGCACCTACTGCGGTGACAATGGACGTCGCGGTCGTGGTCGTCCCTTCATCTATACTAGCCACTGTTGTCCACGCTTCGTTGCGGGTGATGTGCTTGGTATAGGAAAAATCTTTAAAAATATGGCTCATATGTCTAATATATGTTTTCTCATCGCGTTACTATGAAAGGTTGGTCTATTTGGTAGATTAAATGGGAAAATATAGGAAGGAAAGGTAACCTGACTTTTTTCATTACAATGTTGTAAGCGAACATAGATGTTGGTTGTCATTACATGATACATATTCTAGGCCAGCAAATCAATGACATGTTAGTGGAAAGAAGTATTTGATGGAGTTAGGCTCAAGCAACTAACACACTTAGATTCAAAGCACAACATTGGCTAGGATTACATTATAGGTGGAAAGAGCAAAAAGTACAACACAAGTAGGATCCACTCCCCTTAGGCGAAACTACAACACATTTCGTAAATCTTGAATGACACGAAAGATTACACAGCGTCGAACACTAAACTACACCGGGATTTAAAGTTATATGGTTAAGAGCAACCCAGTACAACCAAGTCTTACTCCAAAAGTCGGGATAGACGAGGGCAATGGAGAAACAACAAGATAATGATTATCCAAAACATAGCGTATGACCAACAGATCCAGAAACAGGAGACTGAGAAGTAAAACATCGTGAACCCTAAGACCAAACTAACCAACGGTAGACTTGAACTTCTTCGAAAACCAGATCCCTTCTTCTCAGATTACACCATCGCCTCTGTCAGATGAACCTAGTTCTACAATGACGACTGGATCTCGTAGCTCTGCTTCGGATTCGAGAGGGACGGGGATGAAGAAGAAGAAGAGCAAGGACCAAGGGCATCTTATAGTGGCGAACGGAGATGGGGCGCAGCGCACCGGAAGTGGAGACAGCATGGATGGGATACACTGCCGTTTCACGCTACGGGGATACAGCCGGGCATGGCGCGCTCCCTACGCAAGCGAGCGGAGGGGGGAATAAAGGAGAGGAGAGAGGGTTCGCTCGACGAGGGAGGCGTGCGGGTGGCCGTGTCCCCTAAAGAAGAAATAAGGGAGGGGGGTCTGGTATGGGGACAAGGGCAAGGATCAAGAGCAGACCGGAGGCCGAGAAAAGGAGAAGTGCACAGTGCACGAGGACGGCGAGTGCGGCACGATGTCGCGGATATGCGAGGACAGGGTGCTAATGGGCACGACACCGACGGCGTCCGCGGGGCACGCGGTGACAATGACTCGGCGTGTGTAGCGTGGTCGAATTGGGCATAGTGCCTGGGACTTGACATCCACTCAGGCTTTATAAGCACTCCCTACTACCCAAGGCTAACTTTTTCCAGGTGTTCTTCTTTCCATGCCTTCCTTGTCCACAGTCTGCGCCAACCTTTGTATGAAGTGAGATCACAACATACATGCTTCCTCCAAAACCACCTCCTCTTATTTACTTTGAGAGAACACTATTTCATCAACCTGTTGTGGATTTCCCGCTCAAACACCCGAATATTTGTATCAAGAGTGGTATGGCGGTGTAGCTTGGTAAATGTACTTGGTCAACAACCTCGATACAAGTGCGTGCCGAGCAGCGTCACCATGTGGCAGCTGTTCCACAGGGGCCCTCGGTTTCGTCGCGGCACCATAAGCTATTAACCAGGCAACTACTACCAACTTACACGCAATGAAGACGATAAGGTCATAGACCACAGAATTAGAGGAGTATTGTAAGGGAAGATTCAAACAAGGGTTCATTTCATAACAAGGGACAAGGACTTTAAATCCAACAACGGATTTGATTTAAAGAGATTCAAGCGTTCTACTGGGACACTCACAATTAGTCGATATAGTGTCCTATGTTATCCAATCATGGCTGGTATGCTCGCATCCGAATGATAATTTCTCTTGTAACCCACTTAACATCGCCCTCGAAAACCCTAAGCACGTCTAATGAGACTTAAGGTAGATGGATGCAATAACACAGTGAAATAAATAAAATGCATATTCCGAACGTCCTTATGCTGGTACAACATGCAGGCACTTACTCTCCCATTCTCGACACATCGTTCGCCTTTCCTATGATAGGACTACCTCAACAACTACGAATGAAATACAATGAAAATATTACAATACCGGTGGATAGCGATGAAAGACACTACTAACTACGGGTACATCACCCCAAGGCAACTAATCTACTTTGGACCACGCGTCTTCATTCCCAGGCTCGGCGGATTCTTCTACCGCCCTGGCTATGGATCTGCCTCATCTCCTGGCAACGGTGAGTGAGAGGAATCAAGGGTTCTACTTCTGACACTTCCGAGGGTGGAGGTGTTGGCGGTACTACAACACTAGTTCTCCTTCTTTCTTGCGGGTGGATAGAGATCCCCTCCACGATCAAGGGATCCTGCCATTCAGCAGCCAGCGTCCTCTGCTTGGCCCTGGTGACAAGGAAGGCCTCTCCCAACTGATGGGCATGTCGATCTTCAGCCTCCTTCAGAGCTTCCGACATGGCAGTCTCCCGACTCTCAGCGGCTGCCGCACTGGCATGCGCTTTGGCAAGCTACACCTGGAGCATCCTAGAGAAGATCTCGGCTTCCTCGGCTCGCCAAAGGCACTTCCTCAGCTCTGAGGCTTGCTAGTCATATTGCTCATCCAGAGCAAGCAGGCACGTGGTCAAGTACACCATGGTAGGACTATCTTCTTGCGCATCCCGCCCTTGCAAAGCCTCCATGCGAGCCATCCATGCCCGTCGATTCTTTTCCAAAGGTGGAAAGAACCTCATGGGGGTACGGGCAATGGGGTCTTCATAGATCTGGCAAAGGTATCGCAAAGCTCTGCGGGCCACA